CATTGATTATTTGAAAATGTATATTTGCAAAATTCAAATCAGGTGATGGGTAAGAAAGGAAATGTTATTCGATTATATAATAAAATGCCAAATATATGCATGCAAATATATTGAAAAATAACAAAACAAAATTTTGAGAAACATGTACTGTGACATACCGGTAACCTTGTGAGATAAAACATGAGCCCTAATTCGGAGTTTCTTGCTACTGCTAGGTTTAACGGCATTCCTACGTTTTCATTATACATGAAGGACATACTTACCAAATAAACACCAGCATGCCGTGAAGATGGTGAAAATAGAACGATATTGCGTTGAACTTCGCCAAAGTGAACTGACAACGATCAGCTGCCTTTGCGCGCGCGATAATTGTGCGCATGTCCGGATATGGCCAAACGGGGCGATCGAAAGGTCAACATCTGGCTTGTGTTTGAAAGCAAATTGTCGGGAATTATACAATTTTCACAGTTTTGTGGGAAAATATCAAATGTAATGCAATTTGGATAACTGATGACTTTATACCTAAAACTGCGATTTACGTAATATTTCCGTCCGTTGATCGATGCACAATCAAATAATATATAAGATTATATCTGTCACTAGCTCGATCTTGATCTTTTATGAAAATAATGTTCCGAAATGATAGTTGCTAAGTTGGATACCTATTACCAATATGAATTATGTATCAAATTTGCCAAGGAAACAATTAGTTGACATTTTGTTGGTTCCTTACGTTGAAACAACGTTGACAACTAAACGAATCTCGACTAACTTTCTTTGGTCGCATGATAAACGTTGAATCAACGTTTATGAAAGGTTGATCAACCAAACAACCAAAATTCAACGTTGATTCAACGTTGATTCAACGTTGTGTGCCCGCTGGGCTATGCCCATCGTATTGACAGCTATGACCGGAGGGAAGAGTTACCTGTGCACAATAGCCCCGCTGACTTTTCACATTTTATTGCACCGCAGGCATAGATTTTCTGTGCAGTGACATGTTTGCCTAAAGCGATCACTGCGTATAATAAACCAATGTTTGTACCCAAAAGAATTTAATATTATATCTATACGATCGCAAACCAAATATTTACAATAAAGCTAAATTAATCAATTATATTTTATATATATTTGCTTAATTTTAGCACGATAACAGTAACAACAGCACCAGTAGCAATTGTAGAAGCAGTTGCGGCAGTAGTAGCTGCAGAAGTATTAGCAATAGCAAGAGTAGTAAAAGTAGTAGTAGTAGTAGTAGTAGTAGTAGCAGTAGTAGTAGTAGTAGTATATCAGCGTTACATGAAACTGTAGTTGAGTGAGTGAGTGAGTGAGTTTAGTTTTACGCCGCACTCAGCAATATTCCAGCTATATGGCGGCGGTCTGTAAATAATCGAGTCTGGACCAGACAATCCAGTGATCAACAGCATGAGTATCGATCTGCGCAATTGGGACTGTAGTTGAGGATATCAGCACCTAATTTGTCGGCACTCTAGTGTGTTACCAAACATATCTTTCTGAGCTTCTGGATGTGTTTAGTTTTAGGCCACATTTAGCAATATTCCAGCAACATCACGGCAGGGACCCCCCAAAAGAGCTGCACATTTTGTACCCATGTGGAGAATCGAACCCAGGTCTTCGGTGTGACGAGCGAACGCTATAACCAGCAGGCTACTCCACCGCCCCACGTGTTATGTGTCTGTAGGAGCCAATTGGTCCAATATGATGGCGGGAGGATTCATTAAGGACACCTTCAAGTGATTAAATACAGATATGAGGTTTTGACAGTGGTATACTGGTTATATAACTGTGGTATAGACAGACATACGTCCACGTTGTTCATTGTTTGTTAATTTCTATTGATTGAAGAATAAACATGAAACACGAACAGCTGTTTCCGTCATTAATTGTTAAAACATGTTTGTAAATATAGGATTCTTAACATCTGTTGTCAGCTTATAATGCTTTTTTGGTTGTTGATGATTGCTAAAATATTCTGCACTCAATTTTGCTGACGACGGAATAACGAGAGTTTTTATATTTGGGATAAAAACGTTCTCATAGTGTACAGACAAACATATGACCCGGTATATCATTATCAAGTTTTATGACAAATGTATGCTACATTCTTAGCCAAACCCAAAT